AACTCAGATGAAGCATTATACATTGATGTAAATTTAAAAACGAAAGAAAACATTGAGATGAAAAGATAGGCCGGGCGCAGTGGCTCAAGCCTGTAATCCCAGCACTTTGGGAGGCCGAGGTGGGCGGATCACAAGGTCAGGAAATTGAGATTCCGACTAACACGGTGAAACCCCATCCCTACTGAAAATACAAAAAAAATTAGCTGGACGTGGTGGCGCATGCCTGTAGTCCCAGCTACGCAGGAGGGGGAGGCAGGGGAACTGCTTGAACCTGGGAGGCGGAGGTTGTAGTGAGCCGAGATCGTGCCACTGGACTCCAGCCTGGGCGACAGAGCAAGGCTGTGTCTCAAAAAAAAAAAAAAAAAAGAAACATGAAAAGATACATTCCTAAAATGTTTGGGTGAATCATTTTAGGTGAAATGGGAAGGTAGATAACTTATCTGATAATGATTATACCTTTCTACTTGTTAGTTGATTCATAGAGTCATATGAATAATCATTTATTGAATGATTACCAAATGCAGGGTTCCATGGGAAAGGTAAATAAGGAAAAAATACACCATGATTTTCTTCCTTATGTTGCTTGCAAGTGAATGTGACATATATTTAAAATATTTTTTTTGTGTTTATATGAATAAATAAAAAAGAACTAGGACAGAGAGAAAGGACAGTACATACATATGACAGTATAAAAGAAACAAGATCCAGAAATCTGTTTGTTGAATATGGAAATTTGAATTGACCATTGAAGGAAGAGGTAGACCAGAGAGCTGGGACTAACATGAGAAAAATTATGAAGACAGGAAGTGTCTCAGCATGATTGGATGGTTGCAATTCATTAATTATAATGAAGAACAAAGAAAAGAATGTTAACTCCAAGAGAGCAGGCATCTTGTGTGTCTTGTTCACCGTTCCCAGTACTAGAACATTGCCTGGCATATAACAGATACTCAGTAAACATTTGCCCAGTGATTGGTTGGGTAAGATTGTAGAGATAGAGGTTGATAACAGAGGACTTTGAATTCCATGTTACATTTTGAATTTAGACTATAAGAAAATAGGAAAATATTTTAGGAGAAGATCGTGACAGCTCTAATTAGACAGCTGAGTTTAGGACAAGTTAGAAGGTGTCGGGTCAGGAAGAAATGAAAAATAAAGATCTGAATTTTTAGAACTAAATTAGAAAGGAAGAAACAGATCAGTTATTGCAGAAGCGAACCATGATTTTATGGAAATGTAGTAAATTTGAAGTTAGAAGAAATTGAGTTACATCCTGTCTCTGTCATTTAATGGGTGTGGAGATCTGGACAAGTCCTAGGGCGCCTTCTATGAACATCAATCTCCTCAGTAAAGTCAGGAATATAGTTTGCAAGTACTTCACCTGTCGTCTAACGCGTACTGGGCAACTCTCAAGGATATGTCAATACGTTAATCCAGGATAAACTGACGTGAGGATAAAAGAAGAGAGAAGCACAAGAGAGACATAACACATAGCCAGGAGTGGAGCTAAAAATCCACCATCATACACAAAGTTATGTGAAAGCATTTTGGAAAATGAAGAGTTATATAGACGTTCGGTGTGGTTGACCTATGACATTTCTGACGTAGTGGAAGCTTGAAAGACATTATCACTGTGTCAGAGGAAAGGGCATTACATTGACGCAGAGGGAATGGGAGCCACTATAGATTAAGCTTTTAAGAAGTTTGGAGATCAAGAGACAACTGCAAAGACAAGTCAAATCTAAAAAGGTAAGTTCACGATGACATTTTATATTCTCAAAGTGTTTGATGAAAATATTCACCAATCTTTGAAGGAGAACCAAAGATTCTTTAACCCAGAGTGGTCTTTAGTGTGCTAGTCTAACGCAGACACCTTGCAGATAGGAAGTAAAACCCGGCCGGGCACGGTGGCTCACGCCTGTAATCCCAGCACTCTGGGAGGCTGAGGTGGGTGGATCACGAGGTCAACAGATCGAGACCATCCTGGTCAACACGGTGAAACCCCGTCTCTACTAAAAATACAAAAATTCAGCTGGGCATGGTGGCGCGTGCCTGTAATCCCAGCTACTCAGGAGGCTGAGGCAGGAGAATTGCCTGAACCCAGGAGGCGGAGGTTGCAGTGAGCCGAGATCGCGCCATTGCACTCCAGCCTGGGCAACAAGAGCGAAACTCTGTCTCAAAAAATAAAAATAAAAATAAAAAAATAAAATAAAATAAAAAAAAGGAAGTAAAACCCAATGAGGTGTCAATGTTAGCAGGAGAAGGTACCGCTTACCTATATTTCTCAACAGAAACAAAACAAACACACACATTTTTTAAACCCTAGATATAATAATCGATAGACTATGGGTCTCATTGGTTCATGGATAGCGTGTAGAGTTGATTAGTAATTAATGAATAAGGGAGACTTAAGGGAAGGTAAGGCTATATGTGTAAGATAGAATTGTGTTTTCTAAACAATTTAGATCAGAAAATAGAAACCTAGAAAAAGTGAAACAATAGCACTTAAAGGGACAGGCCTGATTAATTAACTAATTGGGAGTATGCCAATTTTATTTTATTTTTTATTTTTATTTTTGAGACAGGGTCTCATTCTGTCACCTAGGCTGGAGTGCAGTGGCGTGATCACAGCTCATTGCAGCCTTAACCTCCCTGGGCTCAGATGATTTTTTCACCTCAGCCTCCCAAGTAGCTGGGACTGCAGACACACCCCGCTAATTATATTTTTTGTAGAGATGAGGTTTCATTCACTAAGTTGCCCAGGCTGGTCTCCAACTCCCGGGCTCGGGCGATCCACTCACTTCGGCTTCTCAAAGTGTTGGGATTACAGGCACAAGCCACCACCGCGCCTGGCCTGCCAATTGTATATGAGCCTTGTGGATCACTTCATGAAGTGGTCCTAGAAATGGTGCAATCCAGCTAGATCTTAGAGAGATTGGCCTAGAGCATTTGGATGAGCAACAAGGAGGAAAGCAAGCATTCTGTGCCACGATGGTGATTGAAACAGAAGTATGCACAAAGGAAGCGCCTAACTTTTTGCAGGAACAGTGAGTGGACCCATTTAGCTGAAGTGGAGGCTTTGTTTAGGGAAGAAGATGAGCACAATGTTTTGGGGTGATCGCTTGCATCATATAGAGGTTTAAAGCCAGCTAGGGAATATGTACCTTGTAGTTAGAGGGAAGTGACTCGGTTTCTTCAGTGACGGAGTTACATGATGACAGCATTCTTTTTAGGAGATAATTAGGGTGGTGTGCCTGATTAACAGAAGCTAGGAATGTTTGGACTTCAGCCCTATCTTTTCCAAGTTGATGTCATGGTAGACAACTGCATTCTCTCCCCAGACGCTCTTAGATGTTAATATTGGCAACACTGGAAGAATCTGTTGAGCAGTTTTTATGAAATGTAATATGAGAGTTGCTTGCTTTTCACTTTCAGTAACTTTTTTGAAGAAGAGTGAGGAAAAGTTTTAAAATATGTCACACTGGACCTCTACATTTTAGAGTAATAATAATAGAATCCCACATTTTCTAAATGAAATAAAGCGATGAGTTATAGTTGAGAAAATAGGCAGGAAGGCCTTGGTTAAGACAAAAACAGAGGATTATAAAAATGTTTTTGGGAATGATGTCAGAATCGTAGGTTATGGGTGGTTGTAAAGAGATAATTCTGATTTTAATCAGTCAGGTCAGCTATATTCAAGAAGCCAGGTGTCAGAGCAATACAAACTAGGGAAAAGAGAGTGCGTAGTAGTTTTCATCCAAGGAAATCAAAGCCATTGTAACTATTAATATTAATAGAAGTAATTGTTAGTGAATTTAGGAGGGTAGATATCCAATTCACCATCTTCATAGCATCTAGAAAAATACTGTCCTGAGTTTAAGATAAATCATTCATTTCAAATTAAGAAGCAGAGAAGAAAAAGGGAAACAGAGCAGCAGAATGGCAAGTGTTACAAGTAGGTAAATAAATCCTTGCTTAAAAAGAAATCCAATTACTAATCAGTGAAAAAACGAGGATACAATGAAGAGACATGGAAGAATAAGATGAAGGAGACATTACACATAGGGGAAAATATAGAGGAAAGGAGCTATTTAGTTAGATACAGAAGCAGATACTTTCAGATTACGTAATAAGTACTCATTGCTCTTTTGCAAGGCATCCCTAATAACTAAGGAGTAGGTTATGATCACCCCATTTTACAGATGGGGACATTATAAAATGTCATTAGTACTTTAGCATATTAAACTTAGGTGGCTAATTAGCAATGTATCTGCGATGGAATTTCGCAATGGTAAGAAGCATTACTATTTCTTTATTTTCAATACCTTTAGTGTAACTTAGAAGAATCATTCCTTTGACTTATCTGCTGTACAACTGGTCAATATTGCATGATGACTTCTCAATATTACCATTGATTTAGGTTGCCAGGAAAAAATCAAGCATGCTTCAAGGAGATTTTAGCAGCAAGAAATCCATACTATTTGACACCTCCTATTATTTCCACAGCATCCCAGAATTTCTCATTTAAGTACTGCCCAATATTATTCTGGCTTTCTTTGAATTTGTGAACACACACAAAAAAATGTTTTGTTCTAATTTGTTGCAGAATGGCAGTTTGGCCTTTTGGGAATATGAATCATGGGTCACTGACATCAAACAACGTACATTTGGAAACTTTTTTGAATAATAATTGGTTTGGGACAAGTTTTTTTTCCCCCTTAATAAGAAATTGGGAGATTTCTAAATAGGAAATATCATTAGAGTCTCTAATTTTAAATTGCATGAATTTGTTTTAATTGTATTAAAATGAATACAAAATAATCAGTTGCTCAAAGTAGACACCAAAAGGAATAGTTATTAAGACAGTAGAAAAATATTTTCGAAGAACATTCATAGGATAAGCATCCTCCTCCCCCAAATCAAACCTGAGGCAATAGAAAACTATGCTTTCAGAATAATAAAACAGCAGAAAAGGTCCTTTGAGAGAACGTCTGATTTACCTTTCTGGAAATCACTTTATTTTGTTCCAGAAGGGTGGACTATGGAACTTTCTGCGAGAACATGGTTACAAAACTGTTGTGTGATCAAAGCTCTGGAGGGAGGGACTGTTTTGACTCTCTTGTTACTATGTGAGGGATGGAATTTTGCAACCAGAAGGTTCCACAACAGTTGGAAACGACAGTTGTATGAGTAGCGAGCCGAAGACAAATGTGTGTGTCCTGTTACTCCTGTTCTGAGAACTACACACTGCCGCCGTGCCAAGGTTTCCGGCTTGCATCAATATTTTTTATAATTACCAAACCTCATGTGCATAACCCATTAGCAGCAAAAAAAATCTTACAAGTAACATCTACACTGTCTTTAGGTTAGACAGCCATCTGGCTAGCTGATACGCGCGCGCACACACACATGCACACACACAGATAGTCTTATTTAGATGCCTTATTATAACCATTGTTCCATTTTCAATCATCTACCATAAATCAAGCTCCACCTCCTTTTGCAGAAATTAAAACAGCTGAAATTTACAAAGCCCTCAGAACATGTTAAAGCTCACCGTGGGCTACTATCATCCTGTTGTTAGAAGTGGCTTACTCTTATCTTCCATTCTCTGGCTCATCTCTCTCACTTGTGAATTCATGTCCCTATCATTTTCCTTAGCTTCCAGAAAGTCCATTTTATCTGTTGCCCATTCTCCAACTTTTCCCAAGGTGGACTTTGACTCTAGACTCGTGGGTTCCTTCATATTGATGTCCACAGACATTTTGGCACAACAGGAACTACCATGAAAAGGAGATGCCAATAAATTCAAAACTGTAAATTGAATTGTGTGCTTCTACAAACAAAATAGTATGGAATAGCATAGCAGAAAGTTTAGGGGACAAAACAATGAGCGATTTAGGTGTTGTTTGCCAGAAACAATTCATCTGCAAAATTTAATCCAATGAGAAGGCATCTGGAGAAAGCTTCTTGTGTTGGCAACACATTTACAGAGTCAGAAGCTGGTGAGTTTGGGATCTGGTAAGGTTTGGGGAAACTGAGACGTTAATGTAGGAGGTAGATATTGGGAATTGAAATGTGTTTGCAAAAAAAAAAAAAGGCACTTATAAAGCTAGTCAGGGGTGAAGTCTTGGGGTTGGCAGTTTATTAACAAGAAGGAAAGGTCTCTCTCTTTTAAAATACTGTAATATTTTAGGACCATGGTTAACAGTGGTTAATTGAAACCATGGAAAGTGAAATATGAATATATACATAGATGTGTGCATGTATTTTTGTCATATGTACATATATGATTTTTTAAATCTGAAATCAGGTTCTAGTAGACAGGCCATCAAGGAGGGGATTAAATCTCAAAGAAGAGAAAGGGAACTTACAAAAAAAACCCTAATTGTTTCATAACTGTGTTTAGATCACACCTGCTTTTCCAGATCCCAGCCTGCCACAAATGAGAATATAAAAGAAATCTCAGACCTCCTGGGCGGTGGGGTAGCCTAGGGATTTAAGATGTCTCCTCTGCAGGCAATGAGGGTCTCTGTGAGACCAGGTCTAGGCTACTTACCCTAAGCCTGAGCTCCTTACTCAGTAAAACATGAGTAACGGTGTCTGTAGTAGCAGTTTTTTTTTTTAAATAAACTTTATTTTGGCATAATTCTAGCTTTACAGAAAATTTACAAAGATTGTACAGAGAGCTACCATATGCCCTTGATGTTTACCTCATTGTTTACATCTTATATTACCAGGACACATTTGTCAAAAATAAGAAATTGACGTTGGCGGCCGGCCGCGGTGGCTCAAGCCTGTAATCCCAGCACTTTGGGAGGCTCAGGTGGATGGATCACGAGGTCAAGAGATCGAGACCATCCTGGCCAACATGGTGAAACCCCATCTCTACTAAAAATACAAAAATTAGCTGGGCATGGTGGCATGCACCTGTAGTCCCAGCTATTCAGGAGGCTGAGGCAGGAGAATTGCTTGAACGCGGGAGGCAAAGGTTGCAGTGAGCCAAGATTGTGCCACTCCAGCCTGGCACCCGGTGACAGAGTGAGACTCTGTCTCAGAAAAAAAAAAAAAGAAAAAGAAAAAAGAAATTGACATTGGCACACTATTAACTACACTCCAGACTTTATCTGGATATCACCAGTTTTCCCATTAATGTCCTCTCTATTCTCGGATCCCATCGAGGATCATGTTACATTTGGTTGTGAGGTCCACCCTGGATAAGTCTCCAGAGACTTATTTCAAGGTTTAAAACATAATATGTGTAAAGCACACTTAGCCTAGTGCGAAGCATGTAATGAAGCATTGGTCAGCACTGATGGATCGTTATAACTGTGACAGACACTGTCTTCAGCACTTTCGAAACACCAGCTCATCTAATATTCACAGCAATTCTGTGAAGACTCCAGTTACATTTACTTTACAGATAAGAAAATGGAGGCACAGGAAGGTCAAATAAATGGCCCCAAACTATGCAGCTGGCAGAGCTGGGCTTCAACCCAGGCTTGCTGGCTGGCTCTTAAGCCCATGCTTTTAATCACAATGTTGCCTCTCTGTAAGTGCAAAATATATTAGTAGGAGACTCTGGAACTGGTGAATTTTCTCTAGGGCAGAAGAGTATTACTAAGTAGTTCTCCCTCCATTAGTCACTGAAAATATGCCTCATTTTTAACCCTCTTTAAATAAAAAATTATAGCAATTCAGAAAGAAAAGGTAAGAAATGTGGATTGAATAAGCTAGAAGCATGGGTTGCATGGCTTTTCTTATACATCACTTTTTTGAATGCTTACTCTGCCATACTTTTTCTTAATTTTTTTTTTTTTTGAGACAGGGTCTCACTCTGTAGCCCAGGCTGGAGTGCAACGGTGTGATCACTACTTATTGCAGCCTTGATCTCCCGGGCTCAAGGAATCCTCCCAACTCAGCCTCCTAAGCAGCTGGGACTACAGGTGCACACCATCATGCCTGGCTAATTTTTGTATTTTTTTGTAGACACAGGGTTACCCCATGGTGCCCAGGCGTCTTGAACTCCTGGCACAAGCCCGCCCCTCTTGGCCTCCCAAAGTGCTGGAATTACAGGCATGAGCTACTGTGCCTGGCGTCCTCTTAATTTTACACACATATCCCTCCCTCCCTCCCTCCCTTCCTTCCTGTTTAAGCCATGGAACATCTATTAAAGCTACAGCAGAGAAGAAACTTTCTTTAAAATCTAAGAATGAAGATTAAGAGCAAGCAAAAGGCAATGGAGTTTCTGGTGAGAATCAGGAAAGGCATAAAAGGGGGAAGGATTTGGGAACAGGAAGAAGGGGAGAGGGAGGATGGACTGGGAGTTCTCCAGTCAAGCTCTGCCAGGAGCCAGCTGGTTACACTGTCATCTAATTCACGGCTACTCCATATATTGGCTTCTCAGTTTATAAGATGAGCATATCCCTTTTAACTGTGTCAGATATAATAACCTTGAGTCTAGAAATTTTAAAAAGGATTTAAAGAAAAATGCAAAAGCAAGAAAGTAGTTAAGTTGACATGAAAGTCTTAGCAACTAAACTGGAAGGTGAGCAGGCCTCTGACTACAACATTCATTCCACAAACATTTCTTTCAACACTGTTCAGGTGCTGGGGAGACAGAGAGGAACAAAGCATGTCACTTCACTCACAGGCCCCATAGTGTAGTGGAGGGTCGAGAGATAATAAACATGGAAGCCAATGAGATACTTGTAGAATGTTAGATGTTAGAAAGGAAATTAATGGAATGTTGAGGCAGAGGCTATGGGGTGGGGGGGCGGGTAACCACACTTGAGATGGGACAGATCATGTTTAATTTACATATGTTCAGATTGTGACTACAATAGAGAAAATAAGACCCTTCAGCAATCAACAAAATCACTTTATTTATAGTACAATAAAGGTGTGCACCAAGACAGCTTTCCACAGGAAGTTTGAGAACCACTTTACTAGAAATGTGAAAGAGTAGATTACACAACAATGTTTTAAGAGTTATTGAGGAGTAATTCTTCCTGGAAATAAGAAAGTCTAGAATGAAGTCCTTCTGCTCCTCCTCAAGCAATTGACAAGCCCCTTTCCTAGGCTGGCATTAACTCTATCTGCAATTTTATGGAAATATACTCTTGGTATCTGCTATAAACTAAATTGTCCCCCTAGCAACCCAATTCATATGTTGAAGCCCTAACCCCCAATGTGACTGTATCTGGAGATAGATTCTTTAGGAGGTAATTAAGGTTAAATTAGGTAATAAGGGTGGGGTCCTGATCTAACAGGATTAGTGTCCTTAAAAGAAGAGACACCAAAGAGCTAGTGCATGCATTCTCTCTCTCCCTCTCTCTCTTTCTTCCTCCCTCTCTCTGTACGTGCAGTATACCTAAGAAAGGCCATGTGAGGACACAGAAAGAAGGTGACAGTCTACAAGCCAAGAAGAGAGGCCTCGGAGGAAGCCAACCCTGCTGATGCCTTGATCTTGAACTTCCAGTCTCTAGAACTGTGAGACACTGCATGAGCTCAGGGTCTACTGCAACAAAAATACCACCTTGTTACAACCTTATCACAGATAAGGTTGGGTCATTTTCATTGAATGCTGTTCTTTCTCTAGGGTTACTCAGTATGCTGCTGTGGACATAGCTTATAAGGAATTCTTTTAGGAACTGCAAGCATCAATCACATCTGGTTTTCTTTCCCCTCTTTGCAGAATAGTACACCAAATAATACCCATTAAACTGTCATTACTTGCCATTGAATGAGAGGCTTTTCAATGAGTGTGTCTCCTACAGGTAGCAGTGTAAGTACTGGCATAAATGTGAATTAAATCATCCTTCTAAAAACTAGACATGGTTAAAATTAAACACATTTTCTCTTCTTTCCCTTAAGCCTCACACCATGCCAGCATGCCCATCATTTTCATGACACATCAAAACTTGAAAAACTTTTAAAAATTCCCTTTTTTTATACCTAGGAAACAAATGCATAAAAATTCCCTTTTCTTATTCACTCCACTGATGTAGAATATTAGTAAGTTATTGTAATCTGGTTTTCACAACATATAATCTTTAATTTTGAACATGTGAATATTTTCTAGATTCCCCCATCAGGGCTCTATCATTTACCAGCTTTGTGGCTTGCAGGAGACTATGCAGCATTTCTAAGCCTCTGTTTCTTCATCTACAGTGTGGGTTTATGGTGGGGATTAAATAAGTTCATATAGAAAAACCTGGCAAGTCGTAAGCTCTCAATAACTGTTCATCACGACCACTACCATTACTACTACTGCTAACCTTACTGCAGTTTTTGTGACCAGCCTCTGTATGGATCCTAAATCCATCAGTAACAATCACTTTCCTTAAAAAGACCATTCTCAGGCCAGATGTCTCCAAATGGCTACCAACTGTTTGTAATATCATGGCTTAATGCCTTCCAAATGATGACTGAGTAGGCTCTTCACTGGTTGCCTGTTGTCTGCCCATTCTGTCTTCTTAGCTCATTACTACAGAACCCACCCTTCCCATTGGCCCGGAGCAATCCAGGTGTACATCTCTCATCTGAGTATAATTATTAATACTCTCCCTTTCACTCTTTAAAGGGTCCTGGTGTGGGTGTTACTTGTATCTCATTTGCTTAGACTTTCTGCTCTAGGTGGAAAAACCATCACACTGTTCACTTGCTTTCACCTTCAAGTGATTTCCCTCCTCTGGAATTCTGTTCATACACCACTGCCAAATTGTGAACTTTCTCTCCTTCAATATCCCACTGAGGACTCACGCTCAGGATGGAAGTCTGCTCACCCCGTCCTCTACTCAAGCAGAAGTCTCTCTGCGATCATGTAAACAACTGTATAACTTTAATTGGCTCTGTTAATAAACCTCTTATAT